GCGCAACGGTTGCCGAATTGTCGTTTTTATAAAACTCGCGCACACAAAACGCACGGTCCGCTCCGGTAAAACGCTCCATCGCGACTAAATTCCCAGAAACCGAAGTTACTCCCCCCGCTTCCCCTGCACCGCTCACGCGCGCCCTGTTCGTTTTATTCAAATTTTACTTTTCAAAGGCTTTTGGGCCACCCTGTATAATATAAAAACGACATAATATCATTGTAAGGCTGTACATCATAAAGACATGAAATATATTGACATAAAACAAATAAACTAAATTAACTAACTTGGTTCGTACAAAAAAGCTTGGTGGTAGTTATGTTCCTTCTGTATGACTGAAGATAATTCTGTAAACATAAATTATATCATTATAGCAAAGTAATATGTTGAGAAATCAGGATGTGCTTTACAAATCAATAAATATCTCACCGCTGTATGAGAGCTGCACATTATCAGTTCTGGCTGGCAATGGTTGACTTCTAGCAATACAATGTAGTGGAAAACCAACTAAAATGTCATCAGATAATGGTGTAGATGAGATTTCCAAACTCGGAATAGCAGTTTTCTTCAGCTGAGTTTTTTTCTTCTTGAAATCTTTACTTCGGAAATGCTTTTCACAAACATATTTCAACTGATGCAATTTTTCAATGGGCACATAGACTAAGTCTTCTTTTCCTGTTACTTTGACCCATTGTTTACACCTAAAAAGTAGGTGAATAGTTATTTTTACTTATAAATTACGTAAACTACTGTTTTATATGAATTTAACAAAATAACTTTATACAATGTTATGATATGCTAAAATTATACCATTAATACATATATATTATGCACTCTTCGACCCAGTGTAGCTTTACATGTAAGAAAATTTATAATGACAAAACCAACTAATAGAGAAAACATTTATTTTACTCCCTTAAGTCATTATCATCATAAGTGACAACTGTAGATGTCCACTGCTAAACATAGCTTTCTCCAGTAATTTTTATAACTAAATATCGATGTCGATAAATCCGATTAATGGTTATCACTAAGCAATGTTTTGTTAAAGTTATTTTTTTGTTAAAATGCACTAAACCTTTAGGAATTGTACTAGAATTGACTTCTATAAAGAAATAAATATCTAATTATGCTTACCGTTCTTCATCTAATCGAAATTTAGCCATAAAAACACGTTTGTTCACACCAATCCGGCATGTTTTTATACCGCAAATTTCACACGTTATTTTTCTCATTTTGTTTTTTAGAAACACTCGATGACAAACAGATAACAAATTTCTTGGAACTAAATGATTATTAATGCATTTTTATGCAATTTGTACCGAAAATATAACTTTAGAAAACCATAACAAAATAACTATCAAACTCTTAGCACAGACTACACAGAGTACATTTACTTGTTAGTGACACTAATGACAGTCAAAATGGCAGTTGATGTAATCCATCTATCTGTAGAAGACCTAAGCCCGATATAATCCCAGAGTTCTGAGTTCTTTTCGTAATTTTACAGGATTATAGCCGCCATTAAAAAGGACGTTCGTTTCATACATTTCTTTTGTATAGGAGTTTCGCCAGACTGGTCTGAATTATAACCATTAGTTATTTTTTTTAATTTGTTGTTCAAGTCACAGACAACTCTTTCGTTTGGCAGCATATAGGTTTACTATAAGGCTGTATGGGCTAAGCCCTTTGCCTATTGGCGAATTTAAAAACTATGGCACTAAGTTTTGGGATGTTATCAAATAAGTAATTTATTTTTTTGTAAAACAAAGCCAGGGCGAAAGATATGTTGATACATAAACTAAACAACGTAAAAAAATAAGGCATAGTTTTTCAAGTATAAATAGTTTTGACATAAAGTTGACCCACTTTTGGGCATTGTCCTTTATAGTTAATGTGTTTCTTTACATCGAATTGTAGATTTAATTTAAAATGACCAAGTGCTGGTGTGGTATCATTTCCGGGGTCTATACCCTTAAGTTGGACAACTTCCTTCGTAAGTGACGGATATTTAAGTATGCATGTTTCCTTTAATAGGCATATGGCTGAACCGGAATCAATTAAAAGGGTTATAGGGATTCCGAAATTTGTGTATGAACTAGGACGTGTGGTAGTAATTTTTTCGTGGTATCGATATTAATTTTATATATGGATGTTGGATTCTTATTTTCTTTATTTATTTGAATAGGATTTTCGGTTTTGGATATTTGAGCGTTTCCGATTTGGGGCTGGTTACCCTGTTGTGTAACGACTTTATTTTTGGATATTTGTGCGTTTCCGATTTGGGGCTCGTTACCCTGTTGTGTAACAAATTTATTTTTGATATTTGTGCGTTTCCGATTTGGGGCTGGTTACCCTGTTGTGTAACGAATTAATTTTTTTATATTTGTGCGTTTCCGATTTGGGGCTGGTTACCCTGTTGTGTAACGACTTTAATGGTGTCTGGCCTTAGCCGTCTCGTGCGACACCTTAAGGGGACGTCTATTCGGTTAAAGCTTCGGGATATTTTACATTTTCATCTACTATTTCCTCTACGTACTTTACGTTTCTAAAGTTATAATTAGGATTCGATCCTGAAGGTCTATTTTGTGGTTGCACATTATAGCGATTATTGTAGAATTCTCGCTTCTCGTTTCTCGTATTGCAATACCTACAGAATGCATTTTGAATTTGACCTCGTGGATGAGGAGTAGGCATGCGTTGTTGGATAGCAGGAAAACGCGGTAAAGGATATCTGGGTTGATGGAATTTCGGCGGTGGTCGCCTAATGTTGTTAGTATTTGTTCTTGGATCAGGTTTTTTTTTTTGGGTGGGCGGGAGGAAATCCTCATGGATACCCAAGGGCCTGGGCCAAAGGGCATGCCCTACTCCACTGAGGAAGTGTCTCAGTGACCTACGGACTAAAACCTCCCTCCTAGTTATCTGTCCCTTTTCATTATGGGACAACCTTTATCCCTGTTTTAGTCATTAGCCATTTTCAATTAGCATGTTTTTATTTTTTATTATTACGATTTTTTTTTTTTTTTTTTTATTATTATTGTGTTGGATTGAATTTAAGTTAATTGAAGTGGAAAATATTAATTTTAAATGAGATGGAATAAACATTTATATCAAAAATTGAATTACAATTAAAATTAGAATTAAACTTAAAGTAAAGTTTTGGATTAAACTACACATACATGAAACTGCACTACACATACATGGTTTTTTTTTAAATTTTTTTATTCTAATTGATTGTAATTCAATTTTTGATATAATTTTTATTCCCTCTCTGGATCAGGTTGAGGGATATATCTTTTGTATACCATTAGTTGGATTCTTTCTTCGGAAACAGCGATACTTATAGCTGTATTTAAGTTTTTGGGGCTACGACACCTTACTATATTTGACAGTTGTGGATGTAGACCTATCAAAAAGTGGTGTAAATCAAGGTCTTCCATCGCTGCGGTGCGTCCTACTACTATATTTGACAGTTGTGGATGTAGACCTATCAAAAAGTGGTGTAATGCAAGGTCTTCCATCGCTGCGGTGCGTCCTACGATTTCCGCTTTTTTATTGTTACATGCTAGGGAGACCTCTGTTAGCAGTTGTGATAAACAGGATTCGACTCTGAGTGCGACTTGATTGATGTTTTCTTGCGGGCCTTGTTTGCTCTCTTGAAGCTCGGCTAGTAGATGAGTATAATGTTTTTGTTCCGAGAATTGTGTTCTTAAGAATTCTCTGAGTTGGTCCTAGGATGTTAAGTCCTTGACTGAGCAAGCAAGCTCCGCTTTACCTTGGGGTTGACTTAGGATGTATTTAAACAATATAGGTTTTTGTGGTTCCGTAGCTAAATCATGGGCGTTAGTGCAATTTATTAAGAACGAGTTTAGTGTTTCGCGACAACCGTCATAGGATTTGATGAATTTAAATAATGTGTTTAACTCCATTGTAATTGGTTGTGCAGAAGTTGATCTTGTTACCCTAGGTGACTTTACAGGTTCGGGAGATGGAGGCAATTCTGGGATGTCTATGTGTAATTTATTGTCTTCGGACTTTGATGTTGTGGTAACCATTACAATGAAACAAATTGATGTTTTGATATTCAAAGAAATTAATAAACAGTGTCATCAAGATATATCAACTACAATTAAAGTTATTTTAATTTAAAATCGGACATAGACAATTTGAACATAAAATATAAAATGATTTTATTTTCTATCAAGGATCCCTAACTAAATTATTAATTGACAATGACTAGAGACTTACAGGTATAAGATAACGCAGCTCAAAACTGCAACTCGATACATTCCGAAGCGATAAGGCGATGTCTAGACGTGGATGTCGTATTTCGATGATTCTGCACTGATGTTTGAGCGTTCTTGGATTTGGATGTTGAGATTATGGTCTTCTTCTTTGTATTAGATTCTTTTCTTCGAGTGGATCTGATGAACTGTTAGCACTTGAAGTTTTGTTCACTTTTCACCGGGCACGGCACAGTTTATAAAGTTTTAGTTTTATGTTCTTAGGATGCGCGAACTGGCGATTTTCGCATCCCACCGCTGCCACCAATTTGTTATGGGAATTCTCTCTGGGGTCGTTTTAAAAAAGGAAACTCTTAGGATATAACTATTTATTGGATTTTAAACAATATGGATAATGACCCTCAGAGTAATCCCGGCAGCCGCACCCGTACTCTAACACAGTTCACAGACTACTGACCGTTCTCCGGTCTCCTATAAAGTCTCTGCCTCGGACCGTCTAGTCAGCGGTTCGAGGGTATCAGCATTTTGGGGTTCGGTACAGATAAATAACAGTACGCAAAAAAATTATCTAAAAACTTACTCTATGACACAACACGCGAAGTTATCTATATTAGAACATAATCTATGCTTGTCAAAGTGTATACATTATCTATGGTAAAAGTGTTTGTTGTTGTGCTTTGTCATTGAGCGTTAAATTTATTACATTTACATAAATAAGTAGGTAATATGTTAAATTATGCATGTTCCTTGCTGGATGTCTTGTTGTACTCTTCAATGAAACGATTTGGCTCGTATTTACAAGTTTATTAAAAGATAAAAACTGAAGAACAAATAATAATGATGTTGAATATTGTATTAGATAATGTATGTAATCGTTAAAGATGTATATGCGTTCGCGATCGCTTAATGAAGTGAAGCTCGGTGGTGGGCGAGAATAAAAACTTGTTTGGTGGGGGATTTAGAGATCCTTAACAATGCAGAATACAAAGTAAATGTATCAACTGAGTAATAACACAACAACTAAGCAGATTGAAACTATTCGCTTAATCCGCCTTATTCAGCAGAAATACTCATGTATAAACCTTAAACTACCAGAAACAAATATGAATTCGACCTGAAGATGAAAGTAATAGTAGCAGAAATAAAATAAAAATGCAGAATAAAATTGAATCTTCATTTACGGGCGGCAGCACGCTTAAGTTTTGGTGCAACAGACGCCGTGTTTGGTCTCGCGGCAGTTTGTACAGGAACAGTCTCCACGGTGTGTTTATCAATTACCATCAGTTGTCTACGGCAGTACACTTGATGTCTTTTGCCATCTGAGCCGAGAACATAAACCGTGCCTTCGTTTGTCCACGAGTTCGTTACTCCAAATTTATCCCGTGCTGCCATGAAAACGTCATGCCGTTGTTTCGTAAGAAATTCAGACACCGTTATCCCAGTCCGTTTTAATTGAGACTTACTGAACCAGATCTTATTGCGGAAACTAAAATCATGGAACTTCACCAAGATCGGTCGTGCCCTTTCCCTAGCAGAAAGCTGTCTCATTCTGTTACACCATTTAATATCCTGAACTGAAACAGTATTTAATGAAAAATGTTTTTTCAATATGTCTCGGCTCTTGGAGCCGGCTTCTTCCTAACGTTGGGGGTCCCGATGAGGCGGCGCGCCGCCTATGGGGGTGGTACGGTCGATTCACTATACGGTGCTCCGGTATGGTGCCAGGCCCTGACCCGCCAGATAGTCGCAGCGCGCGATCGCGGTCAGGGCCATCAGAGGATACCGCACCGGTTCCTTCGAGGCGGCGTGCTTGCTCGCCGGGGCGCCACCCTGAGACCTGGAGGCGGAGGCGCTCGCTGCCGATTACAGGTGGCGTAGCGACCTCCGCTCTAGGGGGGAAGGGCGCCCCGGCGAAGGTGTAGTTCCAGCGCGGAGGCTCCAATCTCGGCGGTCCGTGCTGGAGACGTGGTCTCGCCGCTTGGCGGACCCGTCGGCTGGCCTCCGTACTGTCGAGGCGGTCCGCCCGGTTCGCCGCGGTCGCGGCCCACCCAGTCCGCGACCGCAGATGTCTCTGGATTCGACGAGCAACGCGTCGCCCTCGTCGCAGTCATAGGAGAGGACCTCTCGCTGCAGCGCATCGTGCCTACGATGCTCGGCAGCGATGGGTCCTGGAAGGCGATGCTCGACTTCTGCGAGTCCACCATCTCGCAGAAGGAGGCGGCGGAGCGAGAGAGGGAGAGCTCTTCCCTTTCCGCACCGATCCGTCGCCGTCGAGCCGGGGGCCGGAGGCGGGAATACGCCCGTACGTCCCGGACCCTGTAGGTGGCGGCCTCCCCCCGGTGAAGGTCAAGGGGCGACCTGAGGGGGTGAGGCCGCGCGGCGCGCTACCNCTGCACTCTTACACCCGACGTCCGATCCCCTCCGAGGTCAGAACCCGGATGAGGTAGGGGGGCTACCGCGGTCAACACTACAACCAGACGGCGCGGCTCACCCCAAGGACGCCCAGCCGACGGAGCCTTCGAGGCGAATCGAAGGCTCTAAAACGTCAGCCGTCTCGGTACGGCAGCCCGTCGGGCCGCCCAGACGGTGCCGCTGGTGTCCCGGAATACCCCGCTGGACCAGAACCAGCCTGCCGGGTCGGGACGCGATACACCGTCGACCGGTCGCTCTAATCACTCCACGGCAGCGCGCTAGAGTGCTGGTAGCGCGCCGCGCGGCCTCACCCCCTCAGGTCGCCCCTTGACCTTCACCGGGGGGAGGCCGCCACCTACAGGGGCCGGGACGTACGGGCGTATTCCCGCCTCCGGCCCCCGGCTCGACGGCGACGGATTGGTGCGGAAAGGGAAGAGCTCTCCCTCTACTACTGGTTTCCGGTTTTCAACTAATGATCACATGCATGTCATCAAACAGCTAATATAAAAATGTCAAGAATACGGTAAAGCCTTGTACATCGCATTTGTGGACTATAGTAAAGCATTTGATTCTATAGAACACGATTTGCTTTGGAGAGCTCTAATCCAGCAGGGAGTGCCAGTAAAATACATACGTATAGTCAAAAATATATATGCAAATAGCACAGCGCAAATAAAACTGGAATCAACCGGTGAAGAGTTCCCAATAGCTAGAGGTGTGAGGCAAGGAGATCCTCTATCGCCAAAACTTTTTTTGGCAGTCTTGGAAAGCATATTCAGAGATCTCGAGTGGGACAATTTTGGCATTAATATCAACGGTAGACAACTTAACCACTTAAGATTCGCTGATGACTGAGTCCTAATAAATGACAACGCGAAGACCCTTCAACAGATGCTACAACAGCTAGCTGAAGCAAGCAGAGTAGTTGGCCTTACTATAAATCGATCAAAAACAAAAGTAATGACAAACAGAGAAGAAATACTCCAAAAAGTAGACAATGAAGATATTGAATATGTTAAAAACTATACATACTTAGGACAATTACTGTCTTTTAGAGACCGGACGGACATAGAAATAGAAAGCAGAGTGGCCTGTGCTTGGAAACGATACTGGTCCCTTAAAGAGATATTTAAAAGCAAACACTTTCCTATGACAGCCAAGAAAAAAGTGTTTAATTCTTGCATCTTGCCATGCCTCACGTATGGGTGCCAAACATGGGCATTGACTCAAAAAAATCTTTTAAAACTAAGATCGTGTCAAAGGANGCATCTTGCCATGCCTCACGTATGGGTGCCAAACATGGGCATTGACTCAAAAAAATCTTTTAAAACTAAGATCGTGTCAAAGGAGTATGGAAAGGAGTATGTTAGGCGTGACGCTAAAAGACCGCAAAAGAGCAGCAGACATTAGATGTACAACAAAGGTGGAAGATGTACTAAAGAAGATAAGACAGTTAAAATGGCGATGGACAGGAGATATGACAAGGGAAAGCAGAATGAAATGGACTAAAATTATAACAGAATGGCAGCCACGTGATGGCAAAAGAAAAAGAGGTAGGCAAGATAGAAGATGGACAGATGATATAAAGATGATTGGAGGGACAATTTGGTCCGGAAAAGCTAGAGATAGAGAAGAATGGAAGCAATTGGAAGAGGCCTATGTGTCACAGGACACGCTGATCACTGAACCGGGAAACCCGATGTATTAGATTAGATTTAAGTTAAAACAATTTGCTACTATATGTAAATATCGTTGTTTAGTGTCAGCAATAAAGGCTTATACATACACATATACAGATGAGAAAGAAGTTAACAGGTTTACCACACTGTGAGTTCTTTAGGAAATAAGTGTTAGAAACTTTTAAAAATATTATCAAGTTTTCTAGAGGCGTCTGGTGGGGTGGGATGGGTGCCCATCCTTTTAATTTACGCCTCATTTCTCTTAGAACCCGGTTATAAGTCAGATCAAACTATATAAACTCTGGTCTGAAAACCAAAACACAAAAGGCAACTATTATTCAGAGTTAGTACCTAATATTAGGCATAAACTATGGTTGTGGCTTGATTGTGGCGTGGCTGTCTCTATAGTATCGAAGCGCCGACGAAGCTGGTCGTTTAAAATTCCCAACAAAGTCCGTATTTTTGTGCTGTCCTGTGCAGCTTCGGCTCCCGAGAGCCGAAAAGTTATTTGTCTTATAAGCAACTTCGCTAACACAATTACCTTCGACAAGCTCACAGATGTTTCCGCTGAAATCTCCACTGTCACTTCGTGGAAAATATTTAGTATTGGCATAGCCGATTTAATTAGGGCCCAGTCTTCACTAGGTAGCGCTAAATCATTTCTGACTTACACCAATGTAGCAATTAGCCTCTTTTATTTTAATAATACGTTCCAACATATTGTATGTTGAGTTTCAGCGTGTGCTTACGCCATTTTTTTAATTTTATTGCTGGTATATTCATTTGTTGTTGTTAAGCCCAGTCGTACTCCGTTGGAAATATTCAACAATGGCCTTTACTCTGGTTAAAGTATCGCTCATAAATTTTATCCCAGCTTGAACCACCAAATTTAAGGAATGTGCAAAGCAAATTAAAGATCCCCATCGTCCTAACTGAATAGCTGCCAGTATATTTGCCGCATTATCACTGATGATAGCCGTGATTTTATTTTCCAACTCTCACTGCCTTAACTCTTCTGTCAAAAAATTATAAAGGTTAACAGCCGTATGGGTTTCATTGTAAATCATGCAGCCTAGTAAATTTGTCCTTAACTGGCCTATTTCTGGATCAATGTAGTGTGCAGTCAGGACTATAAAACTCATTATTATCAAATGTTTATCCATCTGTGGTAACGCAGACAGGGACGGGACAGTCTTGGCAATGTCCTGCTTGACTTTTTGTTTTAGCTACAAATAATGTTGCGATTAAACGCTTTCTGAAGTGTTTTTCGTGTTGGTAAGCTATAAGATGGATTTAGTAGTACTACGATTTTTTAATATTCTGGTTCGTTAATTATATTTAATGGATAGTATTCTTTAACGATCATAGTAACTAGTTGCTGATCAATTTTAATTTTTTTTTGGAGTGGAATGGTCTTTTACGTAACACCATCCACTCTAGGCTGTACCAACGTTTTCCGTTCAACCCGGACCGATGATGATGACTCTACACCGACCGATGATGATGAACCCATAGAAATCACCTGCTGCTCATGGACGGGTTTTGTGTTAGGATGGATATAGTTGGTAAAATTTTCAGCAACTAGTGTTTGTCGTTCCAGCGTTGCTGTGGAAATAGTAGGATGCTTTCTTTTTAAGTGTCTACTTAAATTACCCAGGCTGCCGGATGTATACGAAATCATTTCATAACAATAGTTATACTTTCTTCGCCACTATGTCCTCAGTGTAATGGCCCAAAAGTATGCCAATTTTTCTTCGTGAAACCATATTTTACTTACAATAAACTTTATTTTATTTCACCGGTAACTTAATCTTAAGCAGCCGCGCTCGAATGTCGCGTTTTGTTTGGACACACCTTAAGAATGGTGCATGTTCAAGGTCAAAAACTTTATTTTCTATTATTTTTACTCTCTTCTTGTTTACTGCCGGTAATTTATCCGCAATGATTTCTGCCCCTGGACATTGTTCTTCATTATTTATAGACTGATAGTTGAATTCACCAGCGTTAGCAGATTGATCGAATTTATTGGGCCTATTTGCTACATTTGCTTACATTTTTAGCTGCTTCTGTAGGATTCACTATTAAGTGTAGTGAACAGTTTTCAATTGTTACTTCTCCTCCACATTCCAAGTCATCTTGAAAATAAACAGGCATATCTAAAATCCTCTCATTGATGTCTATATTATCAATTATTATTACATTTTCCTCCCTGGTATTATTTTCTTGATCCATTGAGGTGCTTGCCTTTCTTTTTGTCTTATTGCCGATCCCTTTTCCTTTGACAATTTTATTTATGTTTTTTGTTTCATGTGGCAATAGGATTTCTTTCTTCACTGACTTTTTTGACTGTTGTAGACTTTTTTGTTGTTGTGTTGTACTCGATCCAGGTGCTACTTCAGAGTCTACGTAATTTTCAGTAGATTCGCCAAGATTATTTTCCTGGTACAACATCAAGTTTTCGCTTTCTTTTTTTTTGTTTAATGCCCCTTGGATTTACAATACTTTTAGGAGGAACAGTGCATTCAAATCTGAAAAGTAAAGATTAAGTTAAGTCCATAAACGTGAAACAAATCTGCCTTAAAATTGTGGTTAAATAAATAAGTTA